GATAACTTCCTCCAACTGACAGTAGAACGCATTTAATTCATACTCATCAGCTGCGTCAGTCGGTGAGTCGCAGTTGACGATAGTGATCTTTTCATGAAGCGACAGCTAACTACGGAGGACGGCTATGCGAGGGGAAAGGATCACGTATGAGTCGGCAAGATGGACAATGTACGGGTGGACAACAAAGCCTACGCCACCGGCATTTCGTGACGGGACCTTTTCTTCACTTATCACAAGGGTCCCGTTGCTTAGCTGGCGTATGTCGGTCTTCTTGAATTTTGTTTCTTGTAATGCGATCACATTAAATTTAATTCGATCTGCGGCTACAAAAAGGGCGTGAAGATTGGCGTCTGTGGAGAGTGTTCTGGCATTATACGGGCATAGTAAGAAACAATCTCCTTGGCGTGTCGTGCGTGTGTTCGTCAAATCCGGTTCCAAAGACCTCCTGAGTAACCCGAGATTTTCTGGCCTCTCACCGGTCGCCTCACCGCCTGACGTCATAGACGGGAGCACCCAGTGTGCAGGGTACTGAGGCTGGTCTATTGCTGGTCGTGCAACTTGGTCCTCCCTGGAATCCTGACGTAACATTATAAGGGCGTATCCAGGTCTTCACCACGATGTGGATCAGAGGGAGGTGTGTTTTCGTCGACGAATCCTTCGCTCGGTCTTCCTACTAGTTGATTCGGAGAGATGTTAAAACGGAAATTAGAAACAAAAGGAAGAATGTAAAAGTAACCGACCGCTCAAGGACGATGTAGAAGCCGAATCCTAGTAACTTGTCTCAAACCTCGCCTGTTAAATAGATAAGGAAATTTCAACTTTACAGTGAAGACGACCATGATGTAGAAGAGGAGAACTAAGTGCGTTACGGCGATTTGTTGCCATAACCACCTTACGAGCTTGTTGTGGGTACTGCATTCAAATAGACAAGAAGAAAAAAGAAGCGTAAAATTGAAATGGAAGTCTCACACTAACATCCCCTAGTGGATCAAAATTGTCGAACTGCTTCAGCAACCCCATTAAAGTTCTTTGATTTAACGGCCGATAAAACTACCTCTCGAAGGTCGATGTCCATCTATTTTAAACTATTGCAATACACACAGTAACAACAGTGGGAATTTTCTAAAGGTAGAAAAAATACCAAATTGCCTTATGAAGCATACCACGAAACGTTGAGGGAATAAGAAAAAGGATACCATGCAACATAACTGAAGCCAACAAAGATGAAAAGAAGCGTGTTTCTCAGTAACGAGCATACCTATACCGTCAATTGTATCCATGAACACTATAGAAGGATGGTGGCCACTCGCGTAGTTGAACATCCTCCGAATCATACGTGTGGCTCCGCTAATGTATTTGTCAGGAACAGCAGACAAAACAACTTTCGGAGAGTTACAGGCCAGTTGCGAAACGAGGATTTAATAAGAATTTTCCATCAATAGGTACGTTGCTCTTTTCATCCATATCAAATGATTTCACTATCCAGTACAAAGTGGCAGTGAACAGCTTTGCAGATACTGTGTTGTTTTCTCGAAGCCTTTTAATAAGAGTATGGTAAGAGGTCGATAGAAAAGCAGTATTTTGCACTGCAGTTCCAATAACAGTAAGATAGTGCTTCCATATAGGAATGGTCCATTCCGTAATCGACCAGAGCCGATAGGATTGCAACCGTATCGTTGCTTTCACACGTTATTTCGTAGTCGATAAAAGTAAGAACAAGAAGTAAATGGTGCTTCTGACAGAGCTCTATGACCCCTATTGACACGGTTTAGATGCGGCTCATGTAGTTGAATCTCTGCTGAAGTCCTGCTTGCTCAACTGCATCCAAAATCCCCCGTATATGTAATACGATAACATTCGGGGAAATTTTTCAGAGGACAGTCAGCGAGCAAATTTGATGGTGGTTACGAAGATCCTTCGGTCACTCGCCTTAGTTAAGATGACTATGCATGACGTCCTCCACTGGCCTGGGAGTTTTTCCTTTGGAAGGGAAGATGTTGTATTAGTTATGAGAAGTACGTGCAATTAATGGTTCTCTTCTTGAAGGAAGTCGACTGCAATATTATCGAATTTTGGAGCTGTGTCTCTTTTCATGCTTTCTACTACAACTTGAACGTCAGAGAGTCGAATTTTGAGCCGGTTCTTCCAAGAAAATATTTCGGGGTCCCAGACGAGGAGTGTTGAAGGGTGGACACTGGTTTAGAACTGTCCCGTGCTCAATTCAAGTCATTGCGTGAGGTGATTATAGTCCCATCTTTGTTCATCACAGCTGGTAGCTGAACAATGTAGTAGCACAGATTCCTGTGGCACTTCTTAAAGCTAAGTGATTTTTGCGTCGCATCTAATGATTTTTTTGAACGAATCTATGTAAATCTACTATAAAGACCTCTCTCAGCCTTCGTTTGCTGTGAGTCGTGCTGGATGTGTTGTAGTAGATACAAGCTCCGGTGTCCTTCCCTTTTCGAGCATCTTCTTAGTGGTAATTAAGATGCAGTCTAAACTTCTTGCTTAAGGAAATGAGGCAGGTTCGGAACAAGTTTTAAGTCCTTCGACAAGTAGCGTGTATTCCTCGGTCGGGTGTTCATTTGTCCGCCGGTCGTTTATTTTACAGAGAACATCTTCGTTATACACGTCTTGTACCGTTTTTCTTGGACGATGACTGAAGCTGTTTTCCAGCTAATAGCCGAATCGAATATTCGCAACAGAGTGGAGGCGGCAGTGGTCAGATCTAGTACAGAATCCAGGTACCACTGAGATGTTGAAGACGCACCATTTTCTGTTCGTGAGGATATGATCGATTTCCGCACGAATCGTGCCATTAGGAGACACCCATGTCCACCAGTGATTGTCGCCTTTCTCGAAAAATGAGTTCCCATGGAAGGGAAATGCTCCGTGCAAGAGTCCTACAAGACGGCTTTCATTCTCATTTCGTTCTCCTATTCCGAATTTTCCGACACTAAATTCATTCTTGTTAGCCTTTCCTATTCGGGTGTTGAAGTCTCCAATAACGAATTTATGAAAAGACTTCTCGTTGTGGAATATTTTTTCCAACTGGTTGTGAAACGCGTCCAGTTTACTATTATCAGCTGTAGAGGTTCGTGAGCAACTTTTGATGATGCTTTTGTTTGAAGCGGAAGATGGAGGGAAATAATGTCCAAGCGCAGTGATAGGATTTCTTGTGAGGTGACTAGATAAAAAACAGATTGGTCTACGATAAAGGCAACGCTTCCCACATTTTGTAACGTAGCTTCCCTCCGCATATGACGAGGGTCGAAACATCTAATTGAAGTATGTTCGTATTTCTGTTTTTCGCCTCTTGTATGCCGATCAGTCCCGACCAGCGGCCTCAAGAACAGCACAATGGTCGTGATTTCAAGAGACTGCCCTAGTTACCTGGAAGTCAGAGGTCGGCCTACCTGAAGCCTTCTTCGATCTCCATCACATCAGGCAGCCGTTGTCCTTTGTGGACCAGAGATTTGCAACTTCACGATTAATTTGATACCACAACAGCGGATATTGGCTTACTGTTAGCAGTGCTTCTCAATAAAATGTCGGACTCTTTCTCAGCTTGAGTGACCCACTGGGGAGATAAGCATCTCGCTGTACATCGTAGTCCTACGCCCAGGAACACCTTCGAGCCACGATGAAGCAGTAAATTTTTGGAAAGATGGATACATATTACGAAAAAAGAGAGTTACAAAATTTTGCGAACAATCGCTTAATGAAGAGGAACTTATAAATATGGAAATCAACTTTGCCGGCTCGTTTTGAACAGGAGAAGTGTCAGCTGGGTTCGCCAGTCATGAAAGTGCTATAAATAAATGTGTAACTAAGTTATAGATGGTTAATGGTGTAGAGTAAAGTGTGAAATAAAAGTGCATAGTTTGAGATATAGTGCTTATAATCCGCATAGATTCCAATGATTATCGTTATAAATCAGGTTGGCCAGTAGCGAAAGCAAAATACGCTCCAGTGAGGAAACGCTACGCAACCGCACGTTTGCTTACACTAAATTCCTCCTCATTTTTCAAAAATGCGGCGATTTTTCGTTTTTACTTTATTTATAGCTGTGTATAACAACTTACAGTATAGTCGGTTGTGTACTCAATGTCTAGGACACTACAGAAACCACTCGTTTTTCATCCACGTGGTAAATTGCGCTGTTTCAAATGTGCGTATGTCCTTTGTTTCTTCTTCGTTTACTTCCGAAGTCCTTCAGAAGTGCTCTACAACATCGAGAATTCGAATACGATCGTCTCCTTATGTATTAGTAAGCAGGTTCATGGTCTCTTTCCTTGTTGTAAAAATCTGTGAGTAAACAAGAATCTTTTGGTCTGAAAAACGATGTAAGATAATTTCATCATCATTGGTGTGAGGTTGTGTTGTTGTTTCATTGCTTACCAATCGTTGTATCTTCGATCAGCTGTGATCAGTCCGCGTATTCTACCCACCCTGACATCGATCCACCTATTTCGTTTTGTTGTGTCTGATTCTAAGTGTAAGATCGTTATTATATATACATATATGTATATACGTATATATGTATATATATGTATATATGTATACATAGGCGTAAGACTCTCTGAGACTTCTACAATCAGTGGATGAGCGACGTTATCCTGTTTGAAATATGTTGTTTCTCATTCCAGATCCCCTGACCCACAAAGCCTTCCATCCCTCTGGGGTCGGCAAATTGGTACTAGACTTGGTTGGAAGGATAGGTGCACTGGCTCGGTACTTCGGTAGGCTACCGTGAGCCATTCTAAAAGCCATATATGCATCCAATCACCTCCAACGATGCTTAATGAAGTCCTATGCATGGCGCATTTCTGAAGTTGGTCAGCGCCAAGAGCTTTTTGTTTTACCCTTTATCATTCCAGGCAGATTTTCCCTTCTATACCTTGATTCTATCTCACATTTTGTAAATGTTCCACCCTATATCGCACTTCTGTTGCGATTTTAATAGATGGAGTAGGAGTAGGAGTTGTGCGTGTTTTCAGATGTTCAAGAGTCTTCGCGACTTTGTTTCGAATCCGAGTCCTGAGGGCATTATTTCTGCTGCTCGAACAGTTGTGTCAGAACTGACTAGTAGGCCTGAGAGACAGCATGAATATAAGGTATGAAATTGGCTTAATCACGATATCCGCAACATTCATACATTTCATTAAGGCTGAGAAGCTCAGTCCAAGCAGATATGGAAAGATGCTGAAACTGGATAACCTCAAGAATGTTTCCTGTCATTCGGAAAACCTGGGCGGGGCAAATGTGTTCCATTCTGTCTACATGGCAGATCCACAGGCAAGCTCTTGTGTCAATTTTTTTCTTTAAACTGTGTGTATACAACTTTTGTTTAGTCACTGATGAAGGACAGCGATGAGAAGCTAATCCGAATATTTTGTTCAAAACTTGACCCTCTTCTAGCATCAATTGATGGTTAGTTGAAACCTTACTTGCTTGGATACTTGGTCGGCCGTCCTCACTGGTTGTGCGGACCTGGCATAATCTCCATTTATTGGAGTTTTGCTGATTTAGCCATTATTGTCCCTGGAGTCCTGAGGTCAGCCGAACCAAAGTCTCTCACCACCACAAGTAGTTGCCGCCCTTTTGGATCAGAGGGTGATTTGCCACCATGTGGGGAGGCCCTACCGGGGGATGAATGCCCCCGCTGTACATCGTAGTGCACCCAGGAACACTTCCCAGCCACGATGTGATGGTAAACCTGGGGAGGTAGTTGAAATCACAATAGGTTTTCGGAGAACATGCTGTTTTTCTAATTTGTTAGCTTGGAACCTGCTTTATGCGAAACTCCTCATGATTATAAAATTTTTAGCTATTCCTTTACGTTTATGAAAATTTCATCGCTTTGAGTTCAGAGAAATCATTACGCGATGGTTTTTTATCGAACTTAATGGCAGTTGTGTCACGTGAACCGACATGGGAGACCACTCACTACGCAGCTGCTTGTGGATTTCTTGGGTTTTTGAAGACAGCTTTGGATAAGGATCCGCATGTGTACGTCTCTTATCACTTGAAGTTCTCTGTTTCACGTTTCACAAAAGAAGATTTCTTTTCGACCTTTCAATGCTTTTTGATAATGTTCGTCCATTCAGAATTCTTGGTTTTGCTACGCGTGAAGGAGAGTTCCCTGTACACATCGCTGCAAAGTCAAACCAACTAGAAGTAGTTCGTCTTCTTCTTGAACATGGCGCCGACTTATGCCAGAAAGACGCTATGGGTCGTACTGTGATCCATTGGGCTGCTGCAAGTAGCCCTTCAACTCTGAAAGTGCGGTAATCTACCTTTTTATCACTTGCGTAAATTAAGCTTTACATTGCATATCTCTCCAGGAGCTTTCTAATGAAGTTTCGTTTACTAAAGCTACGGAAATTCAAGATGAATACGGAATGATTCCATTGGCGGTTGCTATTCATGAGGCAAACTTCGAGTCAACAAAAATCCTTATGGGTTGGTTAGCGTTCACCTTCGATCAAACAGCAGTTGGTTTTTAACTTGATCAAGTCTGTTTCTAAAGCTTGTCCAGGCTCAATCAGTTCGCTCCCAAAAGAAGCACCACCTTTGCTGAGCGTCTTATGTGGAATGAAGCACAGCGAGGGATTGGCGAAGTATGTTGAACTGTTAAGTACAGCAAGTACCGCTGTCTCCCTAGCTATTTATTTTCAGCTGTATCGAGCTAGTTGCCACAATCAATCCGCTTATAGTAGAGCACGTTGACAGAAACGGAAGATGTGTGCTGCACTTGCAATTGGACAAGAAGGCTTGTTGATTTGAGCCGAACACACCACCTTTTATGCAAAGATGGCCTTTTATGTTGTTTATGAACAGGTCCTTATGGAAGTTCTGAAACATAGTTTTGAAAACATCAATATCAACAAAAAAGATGCAAATGGTCAAACACCTCTTCATCTCGCAACAAACAGAGGTAATCTATGTCACTGAATTATTTGGGGCAAATCGCCTTGACATTTTTCCTTTTCTTTTGCACTTGTCGTGTCCTTCGTGTAGTTTATACCTAACATGTCGAAACGGCTTAATATCGAATTATCTGGAGAAATCTGTAATCCTAGGAATAATTACGTAGGCGACAGAGGAGTGTTTGCATTTTGAAGTATAATGATAAGTTCGTAACTAAGCAGGCTCATTTACATCAGGTGAACAAACTCTAGCAAATAATTGCTGCTGCAACCAAGAAGTCCTTCAAACGATTGCTCCGAGAATACCCAGAAAAAGATTGTTGCTGACATCAAAAAGTTAAGTTGTAGTGTAGGTCGTTAGCATAGTTGACATAACTCACCTGTTGCCCACCCCTGCACTAGCTGCTTTACTCTCAATATTTGACGACTAGAGCGTGTGTTTAGCAAAATATCCATTATTGCTTCTCGCTCTTAAGAGTTTTCCAATGTTGCACTCTGAGCACTCGAACTACATGAAGGGCGTCACTCTTTTCCCATGATGCCTTTATTTTTCATTGCATTTAGCGTTGTGCGTTGGAAACGGAACTGGATATGCTCATGCATGAGTGGTTTAAGACTATACCAGAGTGCATTTAAAGACTATTTCTTGTAGGCCCCATCCGATTGCTTTCCATGTATTGCGTTCCTGGTAGATTGATATCCGATTCGTAATCTCCTTTTTCTTGTGCATGTTCTAGCACCGGCTTTTTTCCGAATGATGTGCTACTACATACATTGTAAAGCTCGCTTTGTCCGTTTCGCTACTTATAATTCAACCATAAAATAATTCGCTTTTGACAAGTTTTAAGCGTTAGAATTCCAGATAATAAAGCACAAATCTCGAAAAATCTGCTTCTACGAATTCAACAAGACGTGCGCAACGAAAACGGCTCGGAAAACTAATGAAATATGCAGTCAAGGAGGTGCTAATGAACGAAAAATGTGAAATTCGTTCCAAAAATTTTGTCATAGCAAATTCGACGTGGAAGGCGAGGATGGTTGTGGACCTCTTTACAGACGATGATCAAGTGAAGGCTTTAATTAAGGCAAATACAAATACAGCCGACAACTTGCAGAATTCATTGTAAACATCTCAGCTGTTTCAGCACATCCAAAAAACTGAACGGTTGATGAAGCACGTTTAGTGGATTCCACTTTATTCAATGGCAGTCAAGGAAGTCGCCGTTTTGGGGAATCGTCGGCATCTCTTTTAAACAATAAGAACGACCCGTCTCTCGATCGTATTGTGATATTCGACGAGACATGGATCCTGGATGATAACCAGCGACGATTGACTCAGTGGTTGGGCCTCCGCAGCACTTTACAGACCGAAACTGCATCGAAGGGAGGTCATGTCAGTCGCTTGGTACTTTGCTGCTGGCTTGATCCATCACAGTTTTCTGAATTGAGGTGAAACCATGACGAACAGGTACGTCTTCGAACAGTCGACGAAATGTCCCAGAAACTATAGCGGTTGTGCCCAACATTGCTCAACAGAAAGAGACCTCCTTCACGATGACTCGTGGGCACATGCCGAAGTATCGACGCTGCAAAAGTTGAACAAACTGGGCTACAAAGCTCTGCTTATCCAACGTTTCTGTTGTCTACCAACTACCACTTCTTCAACCGTATCGATAACATCCTGGGTGACAAGTCCTTCGGAATCCAAGACGAGGTCTAAGGAGCCCTGAACGACTTCATCGCCTTCAGAAATACAAAATTTTACCCAAATGTTATACTCAAACTTGTGCCTTTTTGCAGCAAATGTGGAGGTTTTATTGTTTTTTATTTCTATTAATAAAGTTTATTCGAGCTGAGATATACCACAATGGAAATGCCGAGTTAAGCGGACATTAGTTATCGGAGAGCCTAGCACTTCCCAGCCATTTCATTAAATGGTTTAGCAAATTTACGCAGAATACTATCCGCACTTATTGAGCCCGACCACCCTAATCTTCAACTGCAATGGGTTAATTGCTTATTTCAAATTGCCAGGTGGTGTTTCACGTGCAACCTTACATCAGACCCATAGTTTAGGTCATGGGCGCATTGACGGTTATTTTTCCTCTCTATAAAACTAGTTTCAAGTGGGTTTTTACTCTCTGTATGAAACAGATAGCAAACTCTTGTCCTTGCGGTTGCCGCGTTTTGATTTATTAATTAGTTACGACGCAGTTTAAATCTGATTTCCTCTTCGCTTCGAGCCACCGTGGACTACCCAAAATTCCTCTTTAGTGATGAGGTGATCGGCGTAAGCAGTCGTTGGAAGTTTTGCTAGCAGTTGAAGTAAACAGTCGATTGCTCATAGCTTATTAGTAGCTGTCACAGCAAAGCAACATTCAAGGATATTGACATTTCCAAACTTTTGTAACTTGTATATCATTCTGATTCCTTGTACGTAAATAAATTTCAAAATTTGAATCTTACGAACTGACATTCGAAGGTTGGTAAGTGCAAGATATTGTCGCCGTAAGCTGGCATATTTTACGAAACACTTCGAGAGTACCTGTTTTTGCATGGGCTTGGAAAAAGGAGCAGAGGCAAAATGGAGCAGTGTTGGCATAAGGGCATCAGAAACCCTGAATATTTGCTAGTTGGGGGACCTCGGCATGCGAGCATTTGTAATAGCGTTGGAGGTTGTATAGTTCCCGTTTACTTTCCTAAAAATCTTCACTTTGAGGTAGTAAGACTGTAGTAAATGTTGGACAGTGGTCAAACGTCTAGTCAACACGTCTTTTTTTAACCAGTGTAATACATAATCGCTTCTTCACTTTTTGCTCTTCCTTCACCTTTAAGCACACCATACAGTTTCGAAGCTAACCGTCTCACAAACCCTGACAGCATGAGGATGAACCATGGCCAGCTATCTCCGTATTTCTAATTTCGGTGGTGTGTAGTATCGTCAGAGTATTATCTTTAGGAGATATTGGTGGAGTTGTAGCGCTGTTATGCTATGGTGCAGATGTCAACGCCAGAGACCATGAAAATTGTTCCCCACTAATGAGAGCTATTCAGGTGCAGTGTTTAGCTTTAGCCAATATGTACGAAATGTCCAGATTTTTTTATTAGGTAGGCAATCTCGAACTTATAAAACTGCTTCTGTTGTTTGATGCAGATCTCAGTGCGGTGGATGGGCACGGACAGTCGGTGCATGATATCGTCAAAACCTCAAAGAGAAGGTATACCATGTTATTGTTCTGTTGCATCGTTATAACAACTACAGAGCTTTTATTTTTACTACTTTAGAAGTTAAATGGATTCGGCCATATGCAGAAATTTTATAGAATAAATCAGTTACCTTGTGATATTTAATTGCGGATATTTGCTTCATTGGAAAACATGCTAGACTAATGGTGCATTTTGAGCCGCAGATTTTGAAAATTTGCATAATTCGGTTAAACACAACGTTATCATTCGAGGTAAGAACCGTTAGAATTCAAGCATTTTCGGCAGCGAGAAACATGTTTATTTGTTGTGATGAATAAAATTTGGAACTTCCGCAAGCGATGAGTTACTCGAAAGCATTTTCCGCAACAGCTTTTTTGTTGATCATTCACCCAGCTATAATTGTCGAAATGCTTGGAAAAGTGCTATTAGTTAGCGAACTGTTCGACAAGTTTGTTGGACTTTGTACACTGACTTGTTCAACTTCTGTAGCGGTAGTTGCGCGATTGAGCATTGTAGTGCAGAGGAATGAGCTTTCAGTTTTCAGCCATTCTTTATAAATACGAAACGATTTTTACAAAATTTCATCGATTTCGTGACAGTATTCCTCTGTTCTGGTCTTATTCACGACTTTTATTAGATGATTTCATTTGCCGAAAGCGGATAAGTCGTTATGACCATCTTTCGACGTAATTTTTTCTTCGGAAAATGTCCACTCAATTCTCAACTTTGTTGAACCTGGTCTACTACTACTACCACTTTTCGTCGTATTTTGCAATACGACCTCGAGGGCTTTTTTTTGTATAAAAAGAACGCGAAACGGGTTTCGTGACTATAGTATCGTTGCTCTTCACTGTTTATGAGGCACGCATCTATAAAGCGTTTTCAACTTTCAGTTGTTTTCCAAATAATAGACAATTGTTGGATTGAAATTTTTGAACTTTGTTACAGCTTTTAACGTGGTTCTTAGATGAGGAGCTTCTATTATCAGCTTCAAAAGAATATTATAATAGGCGCCCACGACTTCTCTTTCCATGAAGACTGATGTCCTGAAGGTCGTAGAAAACTTTAAAAAATCGTTTGTTTTGCATTGATGTTTGCAAACCCTTTCTTTGTCTACGCTTTGATCATATTTCATGCTGTTGCCATCACTTAATTTCTCCAGTTTAAATATGGGTAAAAGGGTGGGGTGGGGGTGTTCTCCTGTTTATAAGTTTTAAAATGATGGATAGCAAAAATATCAGCAGTGATTACTTACTACAAAATATATTTTTAAAATGCATGACTACAGAAGTCCTGATAATTTTGCACCTGCTTATGTCATTGTTACGTCAACAGAGTGTTGTTTATTTCATGGCCGATGTCGATGCTGTGCTTGCTGTGATGAATCCACCACAATCTTTACCTCATGCAGCGAAAAGTATGGCAACGTTTGATTTTATTTTACTTTACAGGATAATTACTCTTGTCATTATCTGGAAGTGTTGTATGGACCAGACATGGATTCATTCGCCTATAACAATGATTAATAAAATCGAATACATGGCACATTCCTCAGGGTGAACACCAGAACTTAATCCTCTTGTCTTTAATATATGTATACATATGTATATATATGTATGTATATATGTGTATGTATGTATATATATATGTATATGTATATGTATATATGTGTATGTATATATGTATGTATATATATACATATATATGTGTATATATGCGCGCATATATATATATATATATGTAGTGGTTTGGATATGACGTTGCCCTCAGTAAAATGAAATTTGTATGCAGATTTGCTACGTTTTCGTTCCAATCAGGCTAGTTTTTATCCACTTCAATGTGCCAGTGTTTGGAGAACTATTACAACTCTTTCGATCCCTTTTCCCATAGGAATAGCAAAAGGCTGATAAAACGCCTGAATATTCGTGCTGCATTTGCAGCGTTAATCAAGAGTGTTAATGGAGAGAGATGTGTTGGGAATTTACTACACTCCTTCCTTGTCGACGAATGTTTATAAGTTCGCGTTCATTTTGACATTGTCAAATACTTTCTCATTCTTGAGGGATGAGAGACGTTAGAATAAACAGAGCTTCTTTTGCTAAATTGCTTCGTAAATAAGATCGAGAAACATTTATTTCGTTTAACAATTCACTATTTTCTTGATGAGCAAACTCAAGGTTGTTATTACATCATCTATTCACAGTAGCTGACAGTTCGGCGGTTTCGTCTTCTTCAGAGCCTGGATATGTCAAATGGACATGCAATCTACTCAGCTAAACACTAAGGCTTCTTTTCATATGCAAGTGTTCGACTGTAAATTGCGTGTCAGTTTGATATTTACACGCTCTGAAGAAGGCGAAGCCACCGAATCTTCTGCTACTGTGGATAGATAATGTAATGACAAACTCGTGTTCGTCTATCAAGAAAATAATGGATTATTTATCAATGCCGTAGTTATTAGAAAATCTTTTCTGGGGTTTATTTGTTGTATATTGACAGTTATTGGATCCATGTTCATCAATTCCCAACGTAGACAACAATAAAAATACATCTTAGAGGAAAATTTCAGCACCATGGGAGTATCAGCAAGAGGTTTCGATCAAGTTTCAAAGAGATAACAAAGACGCTAACGAAGAACTTGTCAATGTGCTGTCATTAGATGGTGGTGGCATTCGTGGCTTAATTCTGATACAAGTAGGCCTAGTCGTGATTCGTGAAAGCAATCATGATAGCGGAGAATATTTTAGGTGTTGTCTGAGTTGGAAAAGAAGTTGGGTGTCGACATCTTGTCCAGGTTCCATTGGCTAGGTGGTACAAGCACTGGAGCGATTTTGGCTTTAGCTCTCAGTCAAGGCAAAAACATTGCGCATTGTCGCTCGTTATATTTTCGACTTAAGGTACCAGAGATTAAATATTTTTTTGTATTGTCACCTGCACACTTGTCATTTTGCTTTTTTCCCGTCTTCACATAATTTAGTTTATTTTAACGTCATAGGGTTTCAGTCTTGGTTCTCATATAATCTCTGATTTGCTAATACCTGAAATGCGCTTGAAACTGCTTAGTGATGTCTGTTATAGGACGATGTGTTCTGTGGCCCACGACCTTACAGTGGTGACGTATTGGAATCATTTCTGAAATCCGAATTTGGCGAACATACGACTTTAGCTGATATGACAACTAAGAAGTCTCATTGTGTTATATTTCATGTTTTCTTAAACATTCTTTCCTATCTATCAGAAATGTTTCTCTAAATGTCATGTTTTTAACGGATAACGCTTCAGAGTGATGGTCACTACTTGTTTGGCGAACGTATGTCCTTCAAAGTTGAAACTATTTCGCAATTACCAACTGCATTTGCCCACCGACAAAAATGACCATATGGGGTTTTGCTCACCAAAAAATGTTCCTGTTTATGTTGCCGCCAGATGTTCAAGGTTGGATGAGTAATTGCAGTAATAACGAATATTTTTTAGGTTCAGGTTTTCTTATTTCAGCGCCGCACCAACCTATTTCCCTCCTTTTGAAGGGAAATATATGGACGGTGGTCTAATAGCCAATAATCCATGCTCACAGCTCATTTCAGATATTCAGCTAATGAATACGAGTTTCAAAATGGCGGTAGGTTTTCTTATATTTATTATACAAGTAGTCTTGTTGGTTTATAAGTATAAAAAAGCAGAGTTATGGTCATTTGTACCATACCCGCTATTATTAACTTGGTGTAAAAATAGTTATTGTGATCTTGGACCTACAATTTCACATTATTTGAACTATACTCAACTCTAATCCACAAGAGCTGCGACTTTCTGTGGTGGCCATGACCTTGATAAGACTTTGGCTAGGTTTACCTTGGGACTCCAGTGAACTACATTGGCTAAACCAGCGAGACTGCGGAAAGATGGGAATTTTGTTAGTGTCCACACAACCAGTGAGGGCGGGCTGTCCAAGTATCCAAGTAAGATCCCATTGGATTCCACACATTTTTTTCAACGAGTCATAAGATATCCATTCCGGTAGTTTAAAACTATGAAATTATAGAGCCTAGAATTTTTGCGAAGGTCCTTTTAGCAGAGTTTTCCTTGTTAATGATTTCCTCAAATACTGGTTGCGGAGATTCTTGTAGAAATTAGCAGGAGTTCACTGATGGTACGTGAGGTAGAGTGACTTAACCAATCCAACTTTTGCAATGGTACAACCCCGCTGACGGGTGATTGCTGTGGCAAAAAGATCGATAGAAATAGCTGAGAGACAGCCGAAACGAAGGACCCGCATGGTGTGGTGGTGAACGCGTTACTCCCCGGAAAGGACAATAGCGCGTTCGTTCCCCACCATAGACACCTGCGGTCCAGAGTTTTGCAAATATCTCAGCAACGTTGTGGTTGTATTTCGCTTAGTACCCTGCCGGGAAATTATAGTAGGCAGAAAATAAAAAGGTATAACATTTTGCAATGGTAGTTGTGCAACATGTGGTCGAGCGTTGTCGTCGTACAGTTTAGTAAAACGTTTTCTATAAAACAAGGCTGAGGATGGAAATTTAGACGAGTTCCATCTATTTTATATCAACCTTTCTCTTCTGCGGTAGTTTTCTAAGATCCAAGGTACTATGTTACATGGTATCATCTGCCCTAGAGAAAAGGTCGCCACAATCGATTGGTGCAAATTAGGCTTCGGAAGACGCAAGAAACTTCGTCTTGGTTTATTCACTGAAGCGGATGTAATAAGTTGTTGTATAGAATCCTTCTTTCATTTTCGTAACAATGCGATTATGAGATATTCTTTTTTCGTTGGGAAGAAAAGGCAAAGAGTATGTTGGTGACGATAATTTCGTTTCAATCTGTTGTATTCGTGAGACATATATTCATCTCTGATATGAAATCTTGCGAGCCACCTGTGCGCGGCACATTTGAAAGTGCTTTCCTGATCCGCGTTTTCTGACGGTTTAAGTTGTTATTGATGATTTATGTCCGTGTTTGTACTTTTAAAGCAGGTTCTTCGTTCTCATATTTTGAGAGCATCATTTAAACCGTTGAAAGGATCGTAGCAAACGGATTTCTAGAACTTAACATTCATATGATAATGTCTGGAAAAAGACATAGAGAAAAAATTCGCAAGAAGTAAATTTTAAAACGGAGTACACCGTTAATTTAAGCAAGGAATGATTGTAACAGGATTTGTTTGTAGATTTCATGATTCTGGATTTCTCTTTTGTTTCTGCAGCAGGCTAATATTTTGCATACAAATGACTAATTGTACGTTCTTCATTTTACCTACTTTTGTTAACTCTGGTTTGGTTTTCAGGGTAAAGCTGAGCAGTGTTATCGAATTGGTTGCATCGTATCGATAGGCACAGGACAAACACCTGAAGCGTCCGTTGAATCACTCAATCTTAGCCTCCCTAAAAATATTGCAGAAGTTGCAGGACTGACCAAGAATCTTGCTGTTATTTCTCATATGAGAAACTTATTCATCGATCAGGCACGCCTTCCATTCAGTCATACCCATGATGTTCTTAAATTGTGACTTTCATCTTTTCTAGGTTGCTAATGCTGATGGAAGCGTCGTGGATTATGCAAGATCTTGGAGCCACTCTATTTCTGTGCCTTTCTTTCGATTTTCGCCTGTACAAAACCCTGCTGTTGAGTTAGACGAGACGGATGATGTCAAGCTTATTAATATGATGTGGAGTACCAAGGTTTAGCAGTGTTTACCATTAATGTTACGACAGTATAGATCGCTAAAATTGACCGTTATTCTTACTCATTTCGAAGCACTCCATTATGATTGATTTTTTAAGGTCTATATGAACGAAGAGAGTTCTTCAGTGAGCCAGCTGATGGGACTCCTGGAACTTTTTAAAAAATAAATCCACTACAGCTAAGGTAATATTAGCATCATCCTCTCCTGACCCCTTTACCAATGAATTGAATGAAGCTCATTAAAGCGCACTTTACATCTCATTTCCATTCTCTCTTATTCTGTTATTGCTGTTATTTGATAATCATTCTGGGTTTGTCTTAATCTTCACTGTTCTAGTCAGTTTTTGAATTTTACAATTATCCGATTCTAATATTTGGAATAGTCAGAGGGAAAGGTGTTTTAGTGATTTCTGTTCGGATCTAAAGTGTATGCACTTCAGCAGTATCAGTACATGGTTGTAATGTACTAGTTAGAGGGTTGGACCAATTTTCATATTTTGAATTATAATAGACATATATTTCTTTTTGCTTTAAATGTGGTTAATCAGCACTTCCAATATCCTTTACGTCCATCTCAGCATTTGGCATAATGTGTGCATAACTAGCGCTTTTGTTTCCTGTAAATATGTGCAGCACTATACGAAGTAATAAATTTTCCTCAACTTCGTCGAAAACTTCTCACAATAGAGTAATATTCATTACATTTTCGTTTGGTTTTGAACTTTTTGCCAACATCCCATGCGTTTTCCGATGAAATTACCCTGACCCTAGGATTGACACTGACTTTCATTATAGGCTATCGGTTGATGCGTTGAAGTAATCCTTTACCTTTATGTGAAGGCACCGCTGGGTGATTTTACGTGATTCGTGCAATGTTCCATGCAACTTGATTCCACTTTGAAGAGTGACCAGTCACCAGGAACGGAGAGGTGAAATGGACGCGCTGCTGATTCACTATGGTTACTTGGGCGGCCCGTCATCACTGGTAGTGCGAGCCCATTGTAATTCCCTTTTTCTGGGAGTTTTGCTGGTTTGGTCATTGTGGTTTTCTGGAGTCCTGAGCTCAGCCATGCCAAAGTCTACCACATCGTCTTCACCACGGGCAGTCGCCGTCTTTGTGGATCAGAGGGAAACCTGCCACCATGCGACTAGTCTGATACATGCAGGATGGTGAATAGTGGTATTGGTTTACTCTTAACTGAGCTTCCTGATGGAAACGCCCGAGTCCTCACCTTGGAAGGCCCTGTCATGGAGATGAATCCCCCTCTGCGTCGCAGTCCGATATCCAGGAACACCTCTCAACCACGACGAGGTGTTGGGAGGGAATCAATACGGGAATTAATATGGCTTTGAAAAAAGTGATTTATCGTTAGAAAAGTCTTAAAGTGTTTAACTAATAATTACCTTTTACGAGTTATTGATTACTACTGTCCTTTATGTTTCATAAGGCAGAAGAGAAAGAAGTTCATCCTGTGTAACGGGTGGAAAAATTATTCCTTAAAGAAGTTTTGTTTATTTTTGATTGTAGGCTGAAATCATTCTGGTTGGCACACTAAGCACATTTCCTTTACTTTGTTTCCATTCAAACCCAACCTTTTCCTCTAACCGATGTTTCGAAATCCGCTCAATCCGTGGACAAAGAAAGATCCTTTGTTAGGAATCCTCAATAGCCAATATGGACCTATTAATAGCTTTACGAAAAGATCTACTTCTAGCCGTAGAATATGCCTGTTGAGGTTACGCAGCCAATTAACACACTTGATTTACTGTCAAAGTTTACTTTACTTTAACCACTCTGGAAGAAGAGTCAGTCATGGGTAAAATTCGTAGCGTATTGCTTCTTTTTGTTCAACAAAAAATCATTCCGTTGAACAACAGATGTTCATTGCGCAGGTAGCGGTAGTGGTAGATGGTTGATCACTCATGTACTGCGACAAATGTGAGTCTATCATTTAAAAAATATAATTAAAACTAATTTACAGTAATTGTCCCACAGAGTTGTCCATTACAAAAAAGGAAGCAATTCATAGTGAGCGTTATGCAATACCCTTTCATTAGGAAAAGAACAACGAATTCACAGAGAGTGTAATCCTTTGTGGAATGGAATAGTTGTTAAAAATCGCAGCCTAGTTGGAACTGCAAACTACTTGTCTTGACACTAAGGCGCTGGTAGTCGGAAACCTCGATTGTTTTGGCGGTGAACTCATAACATTATATGGACACCAAGTCGTGGTTGCCACGCGGGGTTTTGTGTGTTAGTCGCTTGGGATACCAGGCTATAACCGCTTATACACATAATATTTACACGACAACGCAATTAGACTAGAAACACATGTGCAGTTAATTACAAGTGAGGTAGTTCAGTAGTTAGTAATCTAACTAAGCAGAGTACACTAACAGCGATTTGGAGCATTATACAACAGGACTATAAGAACATGAGGGATGATCAGGAAATACTGTTCGTGCAACAATATTACCGTAATCACAACAGCGTCAGAATTTTACATTACCACAATGCAAGAGCGTGAAAGCGATAGCAGGCTGTTCTATCAATGAGGAAGATTTTGCGGAATGGAGTACTTATGAGCAGTGTAGGCATTTGAGACAATTGCTGTATTAACAACACGTAAGATAGATGACAATCGATGACAACATTAATAATAATGGTGTTGATACAAGAACACAGGACTTTAGTTTACATTATCCCTGCCTAAGAATATGAATTGGTGTGGCAGTGGTGAATTTCGTGGAGTGCTTGCAACGAATGGAAGTATTTCAGAAAGTTGCTAGATTAACAACTAGTAGTGGTTACATGAAAAATTAATGATAACCTTAACATGTTGACAAAGCAAGAGCTAGAGAATTTATTCAATAATATTACTTCCTAAGCAAATAAGTGGTGATAGAAGAAGGTGAAGTGAGAGGGCAACTTATATATGCACTAGCAGTGTTCTTTACTCATGCGAGATGGATGAGCGAGGAGCAATTTTGTCCACTTTTTTGAGTTGAAGAATGAATTTCTCGAAGTTTCCTTAAGGAAACTAGTAGTAAAGTAAGGAAGTAAAAAGTATTTCTTAGCTAAAAGCCGTATTATCAATGTGGAACTGTATCCTATCGTAGTGGATCGCCAATTACATCGCATTAGTCATTCTTGAGTTTTGTAAAGTCTTAATAACTCCTCCTGCAAGCCATTAAGTTAGCTCCTCACTCACTTGGTTCGACTGTCATCTATCTTACATCTCGCATCCAACGCTTGTACATGCATTGTGTCGTTACTCGTGCATGGCTACCACAACCCTTTGGACCAGTACAACTTAGGTATTAGCCTCTTATTTTCAAATTGTTTAACTGGACGATTATATATCCACTCATCAGTTTATCACAGCACATCTCTGCAACATCAGCTATATTAGATTACTATCTCTAAATCTCTATGAGGACTTAATCGTCTACCCGTTCACATCACAGCCATGTAATTTTCGCACATCGTTCGTTTCTCTCACTGCATGTTAATTGTCCCTCATGTAACCATTGTGCATTAATTACAGTGTATTATTATTGTGTATTCGTATTGTCTATATTAATAAACGGTTTACTTTCGCAAATTCGAGATTACTTCTGTACAAGAGGATACTAATCTCACGTGGCAATTGCGAAAAGACGACCGTACAACTCAGTTGACGAACCAATACACCGCATGTGTCCAACATACCGTAAGCTTAAGTCATTCGTGTAAGTTAATCCACGTATCAGTTCCCTGTTTGCCAACAAGAATAAAGTAGTGAACGAGCCGGAGAAAAATATACCATGATACTCAAAAAACCGACTTTCTATAAATTTCGGCATAGATAGTTGATATATTTATTTATATTATCTTATAAACTGATCTTCTTTAACTGATGCGAAGTTGGTACAGGTCTTCGTTGTCGTTGTCGTCGTTGTTGGCGTTGTTTGTCGATGGCTGACGTTTCGGCGATTTCACCTTCCTCAGAGCCGTGATGTTACGAGGGGGACTTGTAGACCCGTATCCAACATCACAGTTCTGAGGAAGGCGAAATTGCCGAAACGTCAGCCATCGTCCAACAACACCAACAACGACGACAACGACAACGAAGACCTATACCAACTTCGCATCAGCTAAAGAAGATCAGTTTATAAGATCATATAAATAAATATATCATGCCATGATACTCCTTCAAATCGACTTTCACTTAATTTGATTGGGAAGCTAGCACGAAGTTATTACCAAATATTTATCCGCCGTCTTCGCCTTTCTCAGAGTCGATAATCCGAGTTGATGGTCCACAGTCGTTCGCCTTATCCATGCGATGTCTTCGTATTGAGTCGAGTCTATTGCAGTGGTGCACCTATCTAATGGGGTAACCTCACCCAGCAGCGCTCTTTTATATGGGACAGTTGTTGTTGAGAATAATTTTCCGTTGATAATAATTTGTTTTTCAACGGATATTCTATCCTGCAGCAGTCACCATTAGATAAGCTTGCAGGTAGCGAAACATACGTACCGTACGATGAGCATTGCTATATCTAAATACGTAATAACTTTTCTCTAACATAATATTACGAATTGGAGCTAGACCTGCTTCGCTCAACGAAAGAAGACTTGTGATCAGCAATCCACTGCAACGCTCAACCAGTTCGCTTTACTGGCTGTGCAGGAGAACTCGAAAGTCGCATTGAAGAGTGGTCGTTTAAATAATTTAGCAGACATATGCGCAACATTTGGAGCTGTACACCTTTAACTGATCCCACCTCTTAGATTGATCGCGAATGTATGTTTTGTTGAGTTTTTCATACATCTCCCAATATATACTTTCTACGGCGATCTGAAAACCATAAAAAATTCGAGCTTTTGAGACTTGCACTTCTTTCAAAAGTCGTTCTTAAAAGCACACCATTTCATGGAAATGACTAGACTGATATATATATATATATATATATATATATATATATATATATATATATATATATATATATATATGTA